TTTTTTTCATTTTTTATAGCAAATGTTTGTCCATTTAGTGATATATACCCTGAATTGTGTTGGTAGACAATGGCCTCGGATGAAAACTAACAAAAACTTCAGCAAAGCAAAGCAAGCCAAAGGTTTTCTGTCGAAGCGGAAGAAAATTTCATCATAACCGTATCCACTAAAAATATCAAAAAAGAATCGCGTGTTAGTCCTGTAGGGGAGCAGCAGCAGGACATCCGTTGGAATCCAAGCATTCCTGTCTCTCCTTGAGCGGTGTTTCCCACGTTCTGCAGAACTAAATATTAGTCGTTGAATAGGAAAAGTATAGTAGCAGAAGTTATTCCAATCATCTATGTCTGTCTCTGGCTGCCGCCATAGATGCTTTTATAAAGACGTTCATATCATATCAAACTAGAAACTGAAAGAGTAGTTCCCTGTTGGGATTTTTCTTTTCATTATGACAGTTTCTGATTTTGCAGCCAAATGGTTCTTAAATCAACCAGAACATTTCTTTGTTTTTAGTCAAATTGCTCGATCAGCTTTGTTAAAACAGCCTAAAAAATGTTGCTGACAAGCCTCTAATGTTGTAGCAGTGTGAGAATTGCAGCATTGATGTTTTCTACTTGCTTTGATCTGATACAAAAACTTACCACTAGTTGTCTGCCAAATATCCTTTTACACTGTCAGGCAATTTCTTTGCTTTCTTCCAGGTTTTGTTTCTTGCTTCTATATACAATGAAAGTGTTTCTCACTTCCCCCACTTTCACTGCACCTTACATAATTCATGGATTTTGGGCCACCTGCCAAACCTCCCATGTCTAGTACTAGTAAAGTAGAAATCCACTTTCCTTCTTCCAAGGTGGGCAACAGGCCTCCAGCACCCACATGGGGACATGGTGGCCCTGGCCTGGAGAAATTCACCTTTAGCCCAGTGCCCAAGTCCACGATCGGGGACCCACCTCCATCTTCTTCCTCCAATGACTTTTCCTGCAGGACTGGCAGTTCCAGAATGTTCCAACACTGCTTACCATATCACGTGTATCCCACTCAAGCTCTTTGATGAAATCCATCGGCTCCGCTCGCGTAATTCATGTCGGTGGGCGCCAGTTTTAGGCTCCGCCCGCGTTACAGCGTGGCTCGACCTCGATTTTCTGTCAACTTCAAGGGCAATCATGGATTAAAGTTTTACGATGATCCTTATCACCTTATGGCCCGTTTCCCACTCCCCACGTACCTTCGCAGTGACGGATGCGGGATTACAGCTATAAATTCCAAACGCCCAAACAGAATTACGGAGTACCGCAGCGCCCCAAGAAAAAGACTTT